ACTGGATCGCATTGCCAGAAACAGCAAGCAGCCCAATCCCTCTTCTGGAGACTTAAAACACTAATATTCTTCTGGCCATCAAAATACTGTCAAGTAAGCCATTCAGTGACAAAGAACACAGTCTAAAGAGAACACTTCTGTGATGCAAAGCCAAGAAGAAATACTGTCCGAGAGGGAAAAGTGTGTAGGTGTGTAAGATTATGCCTTATGTTTCTGTAATAGTGTATCTATCTGCACTGTATGTATGAGTATATACTTACATATATTTATATGCACTATATATATGTGCATTTGTACCTGTTTGCAGGAGGACATAGCAGTGGCATAGGCACTGTGATTTAAAAAGCAGACACAACCTATTTTCCATGAAGTTGCTTCTCCAGTGCCAAATTTTATTCCAGCCAATATGTGGATTTACTATTGCATCACAGACCCATTGCAAGACACATCTTTGCCTACCTGTGAGGCTTTTGCATCATGTCTCAAAGCCTAGAAATGTCACTGGAAAAACTTTCAGTGATTTCAGTGGCTTTTAACTTGGCTCAAAGAATAAATGTGAACTGAGGGTTGCAGAGTTCCAGTTATTACTAATTGCTGCAGTAATAAATTATATAGAGTATACATTTCAGAGCAGGTGGTTTGCTAAGGTGTGTGATGAGTTCTTCTATTTACCACCCAATTTTGTACCTAAAGTGCAGGAGCTGTGGGAATCCTTAACTTTTACAAGCTAAGCCTATAAACTGAACCTGTGAAACAGGTTTAGTTTTCAGCATTCGGTTTCCCTGCAAGCATAGAAGTTGAGCTTGTGTGATAGCATGTGCCTATTTCTTTTACCTGGCAGACTGAAAATAAAAACAAAAGTGCTGTTCTAAAGAGGCCCCAATCTGAATGCTATGGGAGTAGCATCAGAACAGAGGTCCTGTTACCAATGTCTAGCTCCCTGCAGCCTCTTCTACCAAATTCTCAGTCCCCAGAACAAAATGTCAGTGTCACCCTTTTCAAATGACTGTCCATACTTATAGCTACAATTCTACAAACCACTCGTTGCGTTATACTACACAGCAGGATGAATCACTGATGGATATTAAGGATGTGTATTACCGAACAGCATATACTAGCTGTATTTAGAGATCCACTGAGATAATCTCCAAACAGATTCCAAAAGTTTTCTATTTTAAACTGTCTGGAGAATACAAAACCTATACATGTATTACTTTCTTCCTAACATGTAAAATAAGAAGCAAAGAAGCAGAATTACCCTTCTACCATCCAGCAGTCTGTGAAGCCTGTGGCATGGAAAGTGACTGAGATGTCCCACAATGTCATATGACCCTTCAAGTATGACAATTCATGTATACAAAAATGACCTAAGCCGCCAGTGCAAAGTTTTCTGCAGCTCAGTTTACAGTGCTAAGCAATGGTGCTTTTTCGTTTGGACAAAATTTTTCTTCCAGTTGGTAGATCTCTCCTTGGCAGCACGTTTTTCTTGCTATAACCCAAATTTTCCAATACTGTCTCATGCCATTACTCCTACAACAGTTCTTTATCCTTGTAGTACCCTAAGTAACTCATATTCCTCCTTAATGTTCAAAGTTTTGAAGAATTTTCAAATTTACTTCTGTTAGGCATCTCTTAGTCATACTAATAAATGCGAATTTGCCTGCTCTCCTTAAGTAAGAATCAAATACAACTGTTGGTTGCTTTTCCCATTTAGCTTTTTCTCTAACTTGGCAACCTCTAAATAAGGTGTTTGTACCACAGGCATGCTGAAAGTTCAAAGTGAGTGTTAGAGGGGAAACAAACATTAACAAAATGTAGTTTTGCCTCAGCAGCTGCTGCAGTAAGGATGTTGATGAATAAAGCACCCCGGGATTTAAATGATTAGGAGTTAAGATGATCAGTTCTGAATAGGCTTACTTCATAACTGAATAAAGTCTGCCACCATGAAGTTTGTCAAAAATTTATATTCAGCCCTCAAATCCTTCAGCTGGAAGACTAATAACGGTATTTGTTCTGGATGCAGCACTAGCTTGGCAAGTGAGACAACCTTCCCATAAGGAAAATGCAGATTATGTCACTTGATATATGAAGCTTATAAGGAACTTCATATGATCGTTGGAGAAAGCTAATTTAGAAATATTTTTTACAGCTGTGAAGAATGATTAGACACCAAAAGCAAGCCAAATACATTATGAAACAACACCAGTGTTGTGTCCCAGTGCTAAGAAGGTTGAAAAGTTTGCCTTTGTACACTAGGTTTGAAGATGATGACCATATTTGCTTGAAAGTAACACTTGGATTGCCTTCATTACACGTATCTCATTATTAAAAAGCATTGTGGAATATGTTAACACTTTGTATAAAACCAAGCTGTAGCTTAGAATAGTTGCAATTTATTTTGTTAAGTCACCATCCATCACACTTGAGAAGTCGTGGCAGTCCAGTGAAGTTCCCACTGACTGGAAATGGGGAAACACAAACCCCATTATTAACAAGGGAAAAAAGGAAGACCCAGGGTACTACAGGCCAGTCAGGCTCACCTCTGTGCCTGGCAAGATCACGGAGCAGATCATCCTGGAAACTATGCTCAGGCACACGCAAAATAAGGAGGTGATTGCTGACAGCCAACATGGCTTCACTACGGGCAAATCGTGCCTGACAAATTTGGTGGCCTTCTACGACGGGGTTACAGCATTGGTGGATAAGGGAACAGCAACTGATGTCATCTACCTGGACTTGTGCAAAGCAGGTGACACTGTCCCACATGACATCCTTGTCTCTAAATTGGAGAGATATGGATTTGATGGATGGACCACTTGGTGGATAGGGAATTGGCTGGATGGTCACACTCAAAGAGTGGCGGTCAACAGCTAGATATCCAAGTGGAGACCAGTGACGAGGCGTTACTCAGGGGTCAGTATTGGGACTGGTGCTGTTTAACATCTTTGTCGGCGACATGGACAGAGGGACCAAGTGCACCCTCAGCAAGTCTGCAGATGACACAAAGCTTTCAGCACGCTGCAGGGACAAGATGCCATCCAGAGGGACCTGGACAGGATTGAGAGGTGGGCCTGTGCGAACCTCATGAAGTTCAACAAGGACAAGTGCAAGGTCCTGCACATGGGTAGGGTAATCCCAAATACAAATACAGGCCGGACAGAGAACAGATTGAGAGCAGCCCTGGGGAGAAGGACTTCGGGTTGCTAGTTGATGAGAAGCTCAACATGACCTGGCAGTGTGCACTCACAGCCCAGAAGGCCAACCACATCCTGGACTGCATAAAAGAAGCATGGCCAGCAGGTCAAGAGAGGGAATTCTGCCCCTCTGCTCCGCTCTGGTGCAATCCCACCTGCAGTCCTGCGTCCAGCTCTGGAGCCCTCAGCACAGGAAAGACATGGACCTGTTGGAAAGGGTCCAGAAGAGGGCCACAAAAATCATCAGAGGGATGTAACAGCTCTCTTGTGAGGAAAGGCTGAGAGAGTTGGGGCTGTTCAGCCTGGAGAAGAGAAGGCTCCAGGAAGATCTTTGAGCAGCCTTTCAGTACCTGAAGGGAGCCTGCAAGAAAGCTAGAGAGGGACTTCTTACAAGGGCCTATAGTGATAGGACAAGGGGTAATGGCTTTGAACTGAAAGAGGGTAGATTTAGACTGGATATAAGGAAGAAGTGCTTTATAATGAGGGTGGTGAAACACTGGAACAGGTTGCCCAGAGAAGCTGTGGCTGCCCTCTCCCTGGCAGTGTTCAAGGCCAGGTTGGATGGGGCTTTAAACAACCTGGTCTAGTGGCAGGTGTCCCTGCCCATGGCAGAGGGGTTGGAACTAGATGATCTTTAAGGTCTCTTCCAACCCAAACCATTCTATGAGTCTACGATTCTATGATACTATGATTTTGTACCTTGACTTACCACTTAATCTATAAACTTTGCAAAACTGTAAAAAAAAAAAGTATAGTATACATACGCAACTTTATTTTGCTACTTGATATTCTCAAACTTTAACAGCAGTATAAAAATATGAGCCAAAAGATGGAAAACTTAGGTAGAGGATGGCAGCAGAAAAGATGCACTAATTTCAGGTTTTATGCCCATTAAAAATAGGAACTACTGCCATAATTTTTTTTTATGTTTTCTAAAATAGTTAAAGAGCTGCTTCTGTGAAGTAACTGAAAGAAAGTTACTCTAAAAAAAGCCAGGGCATGTTCAAGTAAATTAAACCACAAACTATTAGTCGGATGAAGCCAGCTATCAGAGTAAACACTGGCAGGTCCTGTCTTACTAAGAGCATTAAAAAAGTCCATTTTGGTAAGACTATAACCAAAGAAAACCTAACAGTTGTTCTAAGTAGTGGTACTTGCTGAATTTCTCATGGGACTACTGATGTTTAGCAAATGTACCTGTGTTTGCAAGACTCAGCTAAAGGATATTCTTGACCTTTTCAACTTCTTCAAGGATCCTTAAACAACCATATTTTCAGAGGGGAGGGGGATTTATTGTCCCTCTCCCCCTCCCCAAAGTGCCATTTCACAGCTGGTTGTCCATGCCTAGGCTAGGCTGAAAGGCAAATGGAGCCATATATTGTTCCACAGACTCCTCACAAGAGACAATTTGGGGTTTATTTTCTAGCGTTAAAAGTCTGTAAAGCAATGTTTTTATGAAACCCAAGAGCAGAGAGAGGACAAACATGAAGCACTGTTATCCTAACGGTTCATCCACACTCACTGGAAAGGGCTATGTAACTATCTTTGCTATTTCAGTACAACATTTCCATTTGACTGACAAACTGAATATTCAGATCAAGCATCCTCATTAACCACAACACTGAAACTCTGCAAGTTAAATTAATTAAAAAACACAAACAAAACCATTTTTGACTGCTTATCCCTAATGGTTTTGTATGTTTTACAGCATTGAGAAATTTTGCTAGGCAAACTATATCACTTTCTTCTGAATAATGAAGCCAAAGTATTTATTTAATTTTCAAAAGTAAAAATGTGTTCACTTACATGATTTCTTTTGTTTTCTGTGTCTTTTATAGATGTAATAACTGTCTCAGAAAAAACTGCTGATCCAGTTTTGTTATTTGTAACCTGATATGGCAAAAGAAAAACAAAACATCAAACTACATTTTTTATTAGTCCTTTGTTACTCTCAGTCCTCCATTCTTCAATAAGTAACCCACTCTCACCCCCTCCTTTTCTTCCCATTTTGTTGTCACTCATATAAAATCCTAATCTGGGGGGAAAAAGTAGATGACAAGGCTACCTCCTTATCTATTTGAAATGTCACTGTAATGAAGCCAAGTGAAGGGGAGATGGTCATTCTTTTATGACACATATAATAGCTGTACCTGTGTTCTATTTTTAGCAGGCACTTTTTAAAAAATATATTATCATTTCACATTATCCTTTTATAACATGCGCCCCTACACAGTGATTAGGCAAGCAAATAAGATACAATAAAACCCTAAAGTAACTATTATCGGGAAAATTTATGCTCCAAACTATCTTATTTCTTCCCAAACCATGCAAAACTGTAAGAAGAGGTGTGTAAGAACCAGCAGCTTGCTACATATGTTTTCTCATACCTTATCAATTTCTTGATGAGTCTGAACAGTTTTATTACCAATTCTGGTTTCCGTGTTGGACTCATTATGGTAGTTGGGAGGTAAGTTTTCAAAGTTTACTTCCGACAGTTTTTTTGCCCCTTCCTCTTCAGCTTCCATCTGCCAAATTTAAATAAACCAACTGAAAATTAGCAACAATTACACAAAAGAGAACAAGCAATGCTTCTTGTGCAGCCCTCAGTAACACCCTCTTTAATTCTGTGATGCTGTTAGCACAGATCCCCCTGCACGGGAACGCTTATTCAGCTGTTTCAGACCATGACCACAACAGCTCTTTTAATAGACTGGAAAAACAGTGGCAACCTAAACCGTTGAGCTCTGGACTGTTTAAGCCAAAGTCAGTCCCTGTGAGGAAAAAGTGTGTGAAGATTAGTGACAATTTGGTATCTGCACAGGCTGATGCTGGTCAAGAGCCCAGCTTTCTATTTTTCCCAGAAACCCACTAAATACTTAAGACATTTTTCCATCTGACAAAGAAGAGAAAATATTCTAGCAGGACAGACATAGCCAAAGCCCCTTGAAGTCAACAGAAGCAGTTCTACAGAGCAGGGTGCACACATCCAGAATTTCATTCTATATTTCATTTCCTGCTGTCTTTGTTTGCCAGATGAAGACTCAACACAGAAAAACACTCCTCTCGGCATCAGAAAAGCTCAGCAAACGGGCATGAGTGCTGTAAACACAAACTCTGAATAACTTGTGTCCCCTTGTTATTTACAACTGCTGTAACAAGAGGCCACAAGGTCAGCCAGGCTGAACAGAATTTTTCCAAAGACAAAATTTCTCTTTCTGGCATGTCTGTTTATTTTAAACGACAGCCGCAAACCTTTTTAAGTGTAAAGCATTTATCTGCTAAGACACAGCTCAGACAATCCATACTTTCTGCTGTATACAGACATTCCTCAATCCAGAACTGACCATAGGAAGAGTAAAACAGGCAGAAATTTTGGGAATTACTTATTTATAACTAAGCAGATTTTTGGCATTGTAAAGAATACTTTTAAAAAAAGTTTGTCTCAATGGGTTTGCAGTCTAAATGAAGTGGATGACAAGGGCAGATTTCAGCAACTGTCCACATGACAGTAAAAGTTCAGAAATTATCTAATTACAGTAAGCAGAGGTGTGTTTCCCCAGTGGGTTGTCAGAAAAAGGTGTTTTCTGACTACGTATTTTTGAATGAAAGAACTTGGAAGGAAGATTCTTAACATGAAGGAAAAAAAAGCGCAAAGTAAGGGGAAGGCAGGAACAAGCGCTTTGACAGCGATACAAGACAATGGCTCGGCGTCTAAACTCAGTCCCCAGCTTTGAAACAGGTCCTGTGCGATTCTGGGCAAGCAATTTGAGATCAAGACACAGCATTACATCAAAAGTTAGCCGCCTCTCCACACGTGTCTTCAGGACTGTCTTACACCTTTGAACCTGGGTCTGGGATGACCTCCTGCGTCTTAGTTGCTGCTGTACAAAGACAATAACTAACTCTTCACCCCTCCCCTTGCCACGTACCGTTACTTTCTCACTTAAGGATGGAGAAGGACTGTTTGCCTGCACTGCTGCAGGAGGGTGGCTACAGAGGCAGGGCGCAGGCCGAGC